ACTGAAGAACAAAACGACAGCAACTTGTCTGTTCCCCTTCCCCCAATTCCCCAGCGCTGTTCCCATCCCCCAATTCCCCAATAAAAATCTTAAAATAATAATAATAATAATAATAATAATAATAATAATATTGAATGTCAACTATAATTTTAAAAAAACATATAGTCACAGGATGTAAAATAGAGCATAGGGAATATAGTAAATGGTATTGTAATAGCTATGTATGGTGTCAGATGGGTCACAAATTTGCTGGGGTTATCACTTTGTGAGGGGTGTAAATATATATGAACATATATATGTCTTTCTAAGGCTGAAGCATGGCTTCAAAACCAGGGTATTATGAGTTCATATACTTTGTAAAGAGTTGGGAGTGACTTCCCTCTTCCATCCCATCCTTTAATTATTATCAAAGGATGAAAATCTTTTCAGGCAGAGAGCCTTGACAGTAAAGCAAGCTTCAAATGTTGATCATGTTCTTCCCCATGGATTTAAACATAAGCTTTTTTTTTTTTTCCAGCTATTCTCAATACCCTTCCCTAGGATTTGGACATAAACAGAGAAAAGTAAATGAATTTCATGTCAGAATAAGAAATCCTTTTGTAAGTCAGATGGTTTTTACAATCTTTACCGTCCACAGAATTGAAGGGGGGCCTAATCCAGTTGTCAGTAGATAGATCATTAAAAATAATTTTTGATGATAGATCACCATGTGATTTTAGTTACCTGTCATCACATTGCTATAATAAAATTCCTTTTGTTCTCGCCAACTTCTTTAAGAGGGTTTCACAGCATTTATAGCCAGTGTTGTGCTGGTAAATGTTTAACAAGGGGGAAAGGAAGGCAGAAAGTGATAATTTGTACTATTTGCCAGTGTCTGTGGTATAAATATTCCCACCATGGCTGATTTCAAGCCACCAATGTGATGTCTATCATTGAACATAGAATTGGTTAGAGATGAGCAGTATTTCTACCGTAGAGATACAACAGATGCAAATAATATCAAGAGCACAGATAACATTAAAATGTAGAGAAATAATTAGGAAGTTATGAGTTTTGAGTACTTATGTCCTTTGTTGTTTATATGGCTTATTTAATTGTAAGTTTACATAATTTAATTTTTAGTAATAGCTATGTTTAAAAACCAGCCACAAAATTCCTAAAACTTGAGCCAGTATTGGCTGGCTTCAGCATACCACTTCTCAACAGTTATAAAAAACAAAAAAAAATAGGAATCAAATTATGGCTAAATTTGATTCCTAGCACATTCTAGCACAAGCAATATTCATCCAGGGATATGTAAACTGGGGAGGAAAAATTACCCAATTTTACTTTTTTCTGTTTAACAATTATTTATTAAAGTTTGTAGGACTGGTTTCATGAGCATATACATATGTCAAATTATACACTTTAAATATATGTAGTTTATTGTATGTCAGTTGTATCTCAATAAAGGTATTAAAGATTTTTGCAGGACTTTAAAAATTGTAATGTATTTACATTGTTCTGATCAATTCCATTCTTATGATAATTGTAATGATAGAATATTTTAATACCTAATCTTACAGTCACAGAAAGTAAAATAATGATCTAATTTGCATATATATTTTTAAGCAGAGAAATATGATAGAGTTGTCAATAGCCATTTAAGCATAAATAATACATTATGGTAAAATTTTGTGGTGGAACATGAAGTAGAAATTTGAGTAGAAAGAGGAATGATGTAAAAATTCTGACTTAGAGAAGTCTGTTCATGTATTTTTTAAATGGGTGGTTGTAAGTATCAAATTGCTAGGGTATTTAATTAACCATTTGTTTTTAAGTGCATGACTTTACAATGTGTCAAAAATTACACCCTTTGTAGCTATGTACACTTTTGATGAAAAAGGTTAGCTGTCAACTAAAAAGTATGCCAGGAAATCCATAGTTTCCCAATAATCATTTAGAGGGTACAGTAGCAAAAATGGTTGAAGACTGCTGGTGGGGACTGTTAGTGGAAGCTCTTATAAAACTATCCCAACCGCCTGAAATTAAAAAATTAACGTCCCCTTCTCCAAGGTCTGAAAAGCTCTCTGAAGGTGTGCAGTATGTCTGAATACAGTTATTTGTGGGGGTTTAACCTGTGCTCCTTGGATTGGGGACAACATGCGAGGTCACTACTTTTGTAGGGTGCATGTCTCTAGGAAATTTTTCTGGGGCAAGAAGCTTCAGATTCTCTTGTTAGATCCACAAAGAAGCCCTGACCTCCAATGAGTTTTAAAAACAATTTGACCAGAGCCTGAGGCCCTTGAAAAAGTTCTAATAGGTTCTTCTTTGGCTCCTACAAAACAAAAAGGACTCAAATGTTGTAGAACCAAACCGAAGTCCCCAATTCCCTACCTGAGACTGAAGTAAACAAACAAACAAATAGCCAACCAACCAACCAAACAAACAAAACCCACAGAGATTTTAGAGCAAGAAGCTCTTGATTAAAATCCTGGCTCCAGGCCGGCTGAGTGGCGCGTTGGTTAAGGGCTAGCTGGCTTGGGACGCCAG